GCAACACGCACAGTTTCGTGTTAAGCGTTTTTCCTTATAGAATAAACTGTCTACAGCTCTTTTATATCATTGTCTTTGTCCATTAAGCTACATTACGTGTTTTATTTATAATGATTTTCTATGGGAGGAAAATGTTTAACGTGCAATTTAATGCATTGCGTTCTGGGCTCGTCTGCTTGCCTGTACGGAGTTGATCCTTTTAATATCACTTAATGCATTTCATAATGCATGGTCATATCTGCTGGTCTGTATATACTTTGCGTCAAGAACAAGACATAGGCTACTGAATTGTCTTTATCATCCGTTATTATGCCACATTAAGCGTTTTGCTGTATGGGAGGACAAGTGAAAGTTTGCGCATTGTGCTCATGGCCATCTGCTTGCCTTGTAGTACATTAAATAATAACTATATATCGAATTTGATCTTTTAATTGAACTTAATGTATCTTAATAGCCTACATCAAGCCATGTTAAGTGTTTATGTTTTTCTACAGGAGGAAAACGCTTAGCGAGAGACTTTGTGCATTGCGTTCATATTCTGCTGTTCTGTGGCCACGGATTTGCGGGTCTTGTCTTTTTCTTGCAGGACCCTGTACATTATTGTACTAAATTAGTTGTAATCATTAAATCACCACCACAGCGTCTTGTCTCCATTGGCAACACGCACGATTTGTGTGGATTGCAAGTGACGTCGCAGGTAGCGGAGAGTGCAAGTGGCGATTGCAAGTGACATTGTAATTTAGTTTCTTTTTTTTTTCTTGTCTTCACCACCTGGCTACTGTTGTAAGATGTTGAGAGATTCAAACAAAAACAAAAATCAATAAATAGAACAAAAATAAAGACTGCAAGTGACGTCACTTGCGGAAGCACAAGTGTCTGAGAGTGCAAGTCTGACAGTGCAAGTGCAAGTCTGCAGCCAGACCCTTCTCCAATCAAATGAACAAATAAAATGTATTTGGAACATTGCTTTTGCTAAAATATAGAATACAAATTCCAAAGGCCCCCCTTAGGGAAATTTTTTTTTTTTTTTTTTTTATTCTGGTCCCATAATATATAATAATAATAATTAAAACAAAAACTATTTTGAGTAACATTTTAAGTATAGACTGAAATAAATGGTAGAACACGTTTATTACGCTTATTTAACCACTTTTTGGCATTTTTTTTTCATGTATTTTATTTCCTGTACCATTTTGAATGGCGACGCTGAAAAATTAAGAACCGTAAACGCACAAAAATAATTAATTGGAACCGGTTGCGAATATTTTATTTTTAAATAAGCACACATTTACACTTGTTCATATGCTTAGTACGTCGTATTTTATAATGAAATTAAATATAATCATTTTTACATTGACGCTGTTAGGCAGCAGAGGCAGACCAGCCAAAAACTGTAACTTTGTCATCCTCACAACAAATTGAGCAGCATCAAGACTACTACACAGTGAGGGTATGAGCAGCATTTCCATATTCGAAACAAAAAGTATTTGTACAGCAAATGAAACCGTTTAGAAAACAACACGAAACATAAGCTGTCGCCTAGGTAGAGGATTTCAAGGGAAAGTTATTTGGCAACCCAGAGGGAGGAGATCTGAGAAGCCACACACACTGATAACTGCAGACACTGGTCAAGCTCTTAAAACGTTGTTGAGAGGAAACTATTAAGATAAATGGGTGTTTGACATGCTTTTAGAGGAAGAGATGACACACTCAACGGACATCGATCGACAATTAGAGACAGAAGAATATACAAGTTCGATATTTGAACGCGATGCGGTCACGCGGAACTGTAACGTTTTTTGAGTGACTCAGTAACGATTTTGGATTTGTTTATTAACAATTATTAGCGGGAAAAATAATCAAAAATGGCTTCTAGATTGGGTTTATTGGGTTTCCCCGTCAACTCCAGTACCCCAATAAACCCCAGCATGAACCTCTTGAACCCGGGTCACAGCAGCGCCATGAGAATGCCAGCAATGCCGCAGAATTCACTCTACAGAGGGATGGGCAGTACCCCGAACCAGTACCTCCAAGTAAGTGAAGAAACCACTCTTTATTTTGTTCTCTGAAGTGTTTAGCATCACGCCACAACTTCAGTGTTCTCTTCTGCCTTAAAATAGGAAGTGCCATTGCATTTGCAACAACGACGATTTAATAGCACATATATGACAATAAACATTGCCAGGTAATACAAGGATGCCTCTTTACAGAAATAAAAAGAGAAATGACTCAAATTTTGAATGAATTATTTTTAGAGCACTGTATAGTGAGGCCCTGGAAGAGCAAACATGTACTTCCGCGTTTGAGTCCCACCATGAACACAACGCGGCGCGTGTTTTATTTTGAATAGGTTACATGCAAATAATCGGTCCAGTCGCTAACAAAAAGTGCCATGTTAACTATTACATTTTGTAATATACCATGGTAATACGATTATCTTTGGACTGGACATATACCATTGTAATAGCATAGTATTTACTACGCCGTTGAGTAACCACCCATATGCCGTGTAACGTTATATGAACATGGTATCAATTAACTCATAATGTCATGATGAACATATAAAGTGAAAACCAATCTGATATAATAACTGTACAATGGTATATGGTATTTTTGGTAACCCTTTACAATAAGGTCCCATTAGCTGACGTTGTTTAAATGCATGAACCAAAATCAACAAAACAGCAATACATTTCTTACAGTATCTATTAAGCTTTGTTAACATTTGTTAATTAAAATACTATTCATTGTTCATGTTAGCTCAGGGAACAATATTAACAGATACAACATTTGATTTTAATAATGTATAAAAGGGATGGTTCACACAAAAATGAAAATTCTGTCATTTACTCACCTTCTACTTGTTGTAAACTTGTATGAGTTTCTTTTTTCTGTTGAGCACAAAAGAAGATATTTTGAAGAATGTTGGTATAGCTACTGACTTCCATAGTATTTTTATGTGTGCCATGGAAGTCAGTGGTTACCATCGACCGTTTGGTTACCAACATTCTTCAGAATATCTTCTTTTGTGCTCAACAGAAAAAAGGAAGTCATGCATTTGAAACAAATTGAGGGTGAGTAAATGATGACAGAATTTTCATTTTTAGGTGAACTATCCCTTTAGTGAATAATGAAATTAAGATTAATATGTGCTTTAGAAGTATTTTTTTATTGTTTGTTAACTAATGTATTTAGCTAATAAATGTAACATTGCAAAGTTTACTGTATTTTTGTTGTAAGAAGCCTACATTTAGTCGTACGTAAAGTTTTGAATTTGCAGTGCTTTACCTATAATAACAGTTTGCTATTTGTTAGTGTCACAATAATAATACTCAAATCATAACCACAGCGCCTGAGTATGTCACCCAGCCGAGGAATGCCAATGGGGGACATGGGGTCTATGGGTTCCCCTCTACCTGGACCGTCTTATAGTGGAGCCATGCCCATGCGACCTGGGATGCCTCAAGCCGCGATGGACCCTGCCCGGAAGAGACTCCTTCAGCAGCAACAGCAGCAGTCTGGGGGTCTTATGGGTCCGAGAAGGGGGTTAGTGCATTTAGTATAAATTGTTTGTGCATGAATGGCAACAAATTTAAAGTTACAGTAGCATTCAAATCTCTTCAAAGTTCCCATTTGAGTCTGCGCTATGAGACCTTATAAACAAAGAAAGGTTTTATTTTTGCAGCCTCAAGTAAAGTCTATTAGATGTGTTAATAATGTGGCAATATAGTGGTCTGGTTCTACTATAGAGCAGGATATCAAGTATGATATTAAATCTAAGAAGAGCTTCTAAAGCAAAAAAAAATAAAAATCATATGATTCTGCTTTGTGATAGAAAGTGTCCAGTACTGAACCCAAAGTGTCATCTGCTACCGGCTCGGCATTTGTCTCTGGAGACCAAGCGCTTCTTTGTTCTTCTAGCTCAGAGACTCATTTGTTTCATTTTGTCAAAGAAGCATAGCATAGCTGTGAATTAAAAAAATGGTTTAAAGATGTCTCATGATATTAGCTAGAAGACTGAGCCATGGGGCAGATTTATTTGATATTGATGTTTGCTGAGGCATTTTGAACACCACAAAATGCAAAGGTATTAGTTGCTCACCCTCATGTCATTCCAAACCTGTATGACTTTTGTTATTCTGTCAGACATAAAAGAAGATATTTTGAGAAATGTCTCAATGTGATCACCAAAACTGTTTGGTTACCCATATTTTTCAAAATATCATAATTTGTGTTCTGCAGAAATAGAAATAAAACGACATGAGGGTAATGAAATGATGGGTGAACTATCTCTTTAACCATAAAAATTAAACTTTGGTTGTTTGTGATTCACGCATGAACAATTTATACCTAAAATTATCAGATGACTTTTAGTTTTTAAGAATAAAACAAGTGAAAATTCCATAGACATAAGTAGCGGCTCGAAAAAACGACGAAATCCAGTCATTTTAATAGGAATCTGTGCGATTAGGAGTTTCGCACAAGGCCGAAAAAGTTCCTCACGCAGATTTCGCACATGTTGAAGTTGGTCTCGCAAAATTGGCATGTTCACCAACAGAGAAATACTTGTTTTGAAAATGATATCTTTGACAAGTGACATACAAAATTTTGCTAATGTGACCGCACCTTTACAATTTATGGGGACCTGAGTCAAAATCTAGTTTTATTTTAAAAAGATAACAGAGGTTCCTTAGAAATTGTGTGAATTAATTAGTTTTCTTTTTTATATACTTTAATGGATTATAAGTGGAGCCGAATGGAATTGGTTAATTTTTTTTTTTGGTTGGCAGAATTGGTTTAAACATGGCAAAACTCTCTTATCAATAGCTATGGAGCATTATCAAATTAGATAAAATATTTAATAAAAATATTTCTGCTACGTTTAAATGATTGAGCATTTCAGCAGAATCAGACTTAGAGGAAAGATGCAGATTTTCCAAATTTTCATATGTTTGCTGTAAATAACAATAATTGTTTCACTGTAAATTCTATGAGGGGAAAAAATATATTTGTTTAAGAATAATTATGTGGCATACATTTCAGATCTCCAGGACTTTAAACTGTGCTCTCTGTTATTGAAATAACATTTTAACATATGTCCGTGTTGAGTCATGTGTCTTACACTTCTGCTCTACATTTTCAGGGTGAAGAGGCGTAAGATGGCTGACAAAGTTCTCCCACAAAGGGTGAGCTTAACCAGAATAGTATAAATCAGTTTTTTTGTGATGCTGAAGTGTACATCGTTTCTCATGATTTTGGTGTTCTTCAGATCAGGGATCTGGTCCCAGAGTCTCAGGCTTATATGGACCTTCTGGCTTTTGAGAGAAAGCTGGACCAGACCATTGCTCGCAAACGAATGGAGATACAGGAAGCCATCAAAAAGCCCATCACGGTAGATGTGGTAGACTGGAGTAGCAATTTAGAGATTAATTCTTAGTTCAACTACTTTAAATTCACCCCCCCAATAAAAAAAAAAATCTCCCATCATTTACTCACCCTCATGTTGTTGCAAACCTGTATAACTTAATTTCTTCTATGGAATACAAAAGAAGATATTTTAACGAACGTTGGAAACCAAACCATTTTTATGCTCATTAACTTCCATTGCATGGACAAAAAATCAGACACATTTCTTAGAATAAAAAAGAAAGTCATACAGATTTGGAGCAACAGAGGTCGAGTAACTGATGACAGAATTTTCATTCTTGGGAGAACTATCCTTTAGCACTTGCATTTCTATAGGAAAAGTAAAATGCATTTGAATAAATAGTAGATTTATTATGTATTATCTCATTGCTCTTTATTCTGCTCTTCCAGCAAAAACGTAAACTGAGGATCTACATTTCTAATACCTACACACCTGGCAAGCCAGAAGGAGAGGAGGCTGAAAAAGTGGCATCATGGGAACTTCGAGTGGAAGGCAAACTCCTGGAGGATGTATGTAATGAGTTTCACTATGTGTTTGCTTGTGAACTTGAAGCAAGGTGATAGATCACACAATATATAACTCTATTTGCAGTGTTTCATGGCAAGTAACAGCTCTAGATAAAGCTGACTGTGTCGCCCCTATTCTTAATGCTTTTTATTTGGCAGTCTTGAGTCTCTTGGTCTGTTGGCCAGCTTAACTGCACTGGCTCATGTCCTCAGCTCACTCCTTCAAACCAGATGTGCTCTAAGTTGTTCCATGTTCCCAAACTCTGAGGAAAAGAAATTGAAACTTTGGCCCCTTTCATGAAATTAGTCCAAAAAAAAAGTGTAAGGGTATATTTGCCAGCTGAAGGCCTCTGGCTGTGCTGCCGCCACATGAAAAGAGGAAACGATTCTTTCTTTTTCTTCACTTTCTTCTACCTTAGTGGTCATAAGTTGAGTGGTACTGCAAAGGGAGGGACAGGCAAGGCATTGCGCAAGCTCATACTGGCGCAATAGCTGTTTGTGACTGAGTGTGTGTTGATTCTAAAATAACTCCCCCCAGTGTGGTCAGCCCCTAACAATGCAGTATCAATCAACAGCATGAGCGCATTGCAAAAAGATCTTGTGTTCTCTCTCCCCTTTAACCGACTTCTTTCTCTCTGTCTTTATCTTTATCCTTAGCCCGGGAAACAGAAACGAAAGTTTTCATCCTTCTTTAAAAGCCTGGTCATTGAACTGGACAAAGAACTCTATGGCCCAGACAACCACTTGGTGGAGGTATGATATTATAGAGTTATAAGTTCATATTTTAATACCTGGGTTTATATATGTCCCACGGTATAATTTAATCTACTTAAATCCTGATGATCACGATGACCTCATCAAACACAACATGAAAATTCTGGCATCATTTACTCACCCTCATGTATTGTCTTGCAGTAAATTCAGTCATTACATCTGTAGTCATATCGTTTTCTGTGTGTCTTAGTGGCACAGAATGCCTACAACTCAGGAGACAGATGGATTTCAGGTGAAGAGACCAGGGGATGTGAATGTGAAATGTACTCTCCTTCTCATGCTTGACCACCAGGTATCACATACATGTGTATGTCACACACACATATATACACACACACACACATATAGGCTATATATCAGGCTTGGGGCAAAAATCCCATCAAAATGAACAGAAATGCACCCCAAATTCAAGATAAGGGGCAAAAAAATGCCTTTTTACTAACAGACATGGATTAAAAGCCAAAAAACGAATGGGGTCTTTAAAAGAAATCAAACTTTTTTTAAATGTTAATTTATTTCCTAAATTTGTTTGTTACAGATTATTTAGTTGCATCTCTTTAATGATATGACCTCATCTTATCTTACTTCTCCTTCTACTTGACTTAGCCTCCGCAGTATAAACTGGATCCACGCCTGGCTCGACTTTTGGGTGTCCACACTCAGACCAGAGCCAGTATCATGCAGGCCCTGTGGCTCTACATCAAAAGCAACAAGCTGCAAGACTGCCATGAGAAAGAGTACATTAGCTGCAACCGATACTTCAGACAGGTACCCAAAATGTTTAGCCCTCTTAGCAAGAAATTACCTTTAGCTTGTTCTCACAATTCTTTAAAACCCAAAACACTAAAACTCAGTTGAAAACTCATGAGAAAAGAAAAACTCTGCAGAAACCCTAGTTTCTAAGCCTTGCATTTGGCACTGTCTGCCACAATACGCTTTCATTTGCCTCTAAGCCATTGGTATTACTGGCACAGCTGTGCATTGGTTCACATCCTACTTGAGTGATAGATGGCAATTGGACTTTTTTCCAGAAATATAAATTTTCCACTGCTCCTGACCTGTCAACAGAGGCGTCCCTCAGGGCTCGGTTCTCGGCCCATTTCTCTTTGTAGTCTGTATGCTTCCACTTAATCAGAATTCCTTGACACAAAGGAATCAGATTACTTGGTTTCACTTTCCCCTGTTATGTTGACACTCAAAGCTGCATTAGCTCCCATGTTACTTCCATCCTTCCTCTCAACATCAGATCTTTCTTCAAACTGCTCAAGTATACAAGGACGAGGGACCGAAAACAAATGTAGAAATCAGGGACTGTATGACAGAAACATCCTAATGCAGAATCCTATCCATCTTTAGAAACCATGGTAATTTCAAATCTACGTGAAAAAATTAAGATCGGAAGTTTCTGTAATACAGCTCCAGAATATCATGGAGACTTGGCAGGGCCCACCTAGCAATTCCCCTGTCTATTATTTAGAAGTCCTTAGCAACTTTATTGAAACACATTGCATAGTGTAGGTAGTTTTGGACACGGAAGCACTACTCGCATTGTCTTCAGAATGTAGTTTAGTGCTTGATCTGAGATAATTATTGCATGCTTCATGCAATGGAAACCACGTGATTGGTGCCTTAATCACAAACTTAATGGCTATAAATTGAGCCATGAAACTAAACTGAACTGCTGTAATCCTGCAGATTTTTGGCTGCCATAGGATGAGATTTTCGGATATCCCCATGAAACTTGCCGGCCTCCTTCAGCACCCCGACCCCATCGTCATCAATCATATCATCAGGTGTGTGCTTGTGGTTCCTGTTCTGAATGTTCTCTTTTGTTACTCAACAGTTACTTTCCATGCTCTTTTGAAATAATATTTTCTCTTTAATCAAAATGTCTGACTTATAAACTCAAATATTTAACTTACCAGTCCAAAGTTCTGTCACACTTATGTTTCTGAATATAGCTTGCACCTATATATGAATTTCTGAGCAAAAGTAAAATTTTATCTATTTTAAATGGGTGATTTTACCAGAATAGGGAAGGAAATGCAACTTGTGTCCAGCATATATGTGAACTCCTTTAATACTGTTGGAAAACTTGGGGAAAAAATATTGAAAAAAGTTTTGATTTGTTTAACGTTTTTGGTATTCAATTGTCATATAATTCCTTTCTTCCATCTCATGTTTTTAATAACTATTTTAAAATCTAAAATGTGTCAAATACATATTATATCGATTTGTAGAGTGGTATGAATATTTATGTTATTTTTTTTATGTTGACCAAAGGCTGCTTTATTGCTATATCATTTTGTCAGTGTGGATCCCAATGATCAGAAGAAGACTGCATGCTTTGATATCGATGTTGAGGTGGATGACCCTCTGAAGGCTCAGATGACCAGCTTCCTGTCATCCACAACCAGTCAACAGGAGATCACTGCCCTGGAGATGAAGGTGTGTGTGCAAGGGCATAAATGACACCTCATGTAAATTATTGTCCACCCATTCTAAAGTTACATACATATAGAGGGGCTATTTTTAACCAAACATTTACATTCTCCATAAGATACATGAGACTATTGAATCCATCAACCATTTGAAGACCCAGAGAGACTTCATGCTCAGCTTCAGTAACAACCCGCAGGAGTTCATCCAGGACTGGCTCAAGTCTCAGAGCCGAGACCTCAAAGTACTTTCAGTTTCCCTCATTGGATTTCATTCAGCCTTCATTTTTTTGCCATTCGCCATTCATGAATGTTTTGTCTTGGTTTATGCAGTTAATGACAGACACTGTGGGTAATCCAGAGGAGGAGAGAAGAACTGAGTTTTACCACTCACCCTGGGTCAAAGAAGCTGTTGGACGCTATATATTTTCAAAGGTGAGCACTTTGTATTTCTTTCCATTGCAAGGTACATCAGTGGTTGGTTGCCTGCTTAACCTGCTTAGACTGGTCTTAAAAAGACTGGTCATAACTTTTTCAAGTCCGTTACAAATAGGTAGATTGGTCTAATTTGAAGACTAATTACTCTTTGGTTAACTGCTAGTTGATCAAACTAGTTCTTAAGATACAGTCTTAACATAATGGCTAAGGGCTAACAAGGACGGACCACACGGTAACGGATGCAAGGATATCGGCAAAAGAGAAGATCCCAAGGAGGTGTGGGTGTGGCTGGGAAAAAAACAACAGTATGGGCAGGTCAGACAAATGGGATCCAAGGCCGGGTTGAACAAGACCATCGAGCAGTTCAGGAGCATAGCTCTACTGAATGTGGAGGGGAACATCTTCTTCTCCGTGATGGCAAGAAGAATGACCACGTACCTCACGAACAACTACATCAGTACCAGCTGTCAGAAAGCCGGGATTCCAGGTTTCCCTGGATGGAGCGAGCCACCCATCCTATGGTCCAAGGCAAGTAGGAAGGAGAGGAAGGACCTAGTTGTTGCAGAGGTCACCAGGATTGAGCAGGAGGAGCTCAGAGTAAGGTCTGTGGCACAGGGGCAGCAGGGGCGGTGGACAACTTGGGAGGGTGTCGCGAGCCGAGCAATCAGCTGGGCAGAGTTCTGGAAACTACCACAGGCTCGGCTCAGTTTCCTCATTAGGGCAACATACGACACCCTCCCGAGCCCTAAAAACCTCCACCAATGGCTTGGAACAGAGCAATCCTGTGACCTCTGCGGGACCATCAATGCCTCACTCCAGCATGTACTGTCGGGCTGTAAAACAGCACTGACACAGGTTCGGCTCAGATGGCGGCATGACCAAGTGCTCAGGAAGCTGGCAGAGGTGCTGGAGAAAAGTCGGCAGGAGGCAAATAATCAGAGTCCATTAGAGAGTCGATGCAAGATCCACTTCCTCAGGCAGGGGGAACCCGCAATGCATACCAGCAAGAGACCACCCGCCAAGCTATTAACACCAGGGGCGGGGTGGAAGATGGAAGTAGACCTGGGAAGGCAGCTCCAGTTCCCACAGGAGATATGCAGCACCACATTAAGACCAGACGTGGTGCTGTGGTCTGCAGCTGTGAAGTCAGTGATACTGATCGAGCTGACAGTGCCATGGGAGGAGGGACTGGAAGCTGCCTACGAGAGAAAGAAGGCGAAGTATGCAGACTTGGTCGCGGAGTGCAGAGAAAGTGAATGGAGTGTGAGGCTGTACCCGGTGGAGGTGGGAGCCAGAGGTTTTGTGGGCAGATCAGTATCATGCCTGCTCAAGGACCTGGGACTACGGGGAGCCACACTGAGCAGATCCACCAAAGAGCTCTCTGAGGAAGCGGAGAAAGCAAGCCACTGGCTCTGGCTGAAACGAAGAGACAAGGCTTGGGGAGAAACATCGAATTCGGTTTTGCTGCAGGGGGTGTCAGGGAGACGTCCCTGTTCACTGCCCCGCCACCAGGAGACGTTCTGGGTTAAGGGGCGAAACGTCAATGAGCGGTGGTCCCCAGCTGAAGACCCTGCAGAAAACCACGTGGTATGCGGTCAGGGTTAGGCCTGCCTCAGGGAAGAGGACGCCCCTGCCATGCATAGTCCACCATAGGCACCGTAGGAGGTGCGACAGGCCTAAGGTCCAGCAGAAAGACCACCTCGCTGTAATGAATAATATAATTGTGCATTTTCTTTTATTTTCAGGTCCAGCAGAGGAGACAGGAATTGGAACAGGTACTGGGAATCCGACTCACTTAAGAAGATTCAGACTCCAAATCTACAGTCACCCGAGAAATTGGCTCAACAAATACAATTGAGAATGAAACTTTCTGTTTGAAAACCAGTGGAGGAAGTTCATGTATAAGTTTTGGGCTTGTCAGTTGCAGCTTTTGTACCATTACACACATTTGGCCATATAAATTTCAAATGCTTTTTCAGTAACTGGAACACTTCAGTACGTATCTTCCTCTTTGTATTCATTCTCTGATCTTCTCTTATATATTCTGAAAATGAGCCATCCAGTTTATGTTCCTCTTGATTCAGTTTGTTGACAATCATCTTTGCTTTTATTGTATCTTGTTAAATACGTCTCTCTTTTTATATTTTACAGTAAGATATACAGTACTGTAGCTTATTGGCTAACACCCTTATAGGTAACTGATGCAACAAAGATTCTTTTTGTTCATAAATTTTGTGTTTGTAGTAGGAATTGCCAAAATCAATCTACATTTGCCATTTCATTTTTGAAAGGTTTCTAATTGTGACCACAAAGGCTATTTTCACAACTTAATTGCACATTGTTTTGAGATAAGATGCAGTTACTTATAGTTAAGAAGATTAGTAATGAAAATGCAATGTTTTTCTTCGATTTTCAATATTGTGGATTTTTTCCATTTGGTCTCTCAGGAAAATATGTGCTGCACTGCGTTCAAGAGCCATGATTTTGTGTTTCCACCCCAACAGGAAATCCAGCACATTTGGTTGTCCAGCTGTTTTAGTTCAGTGTACCAGACTTACTGTCTTCATCTTGTTAGTGTTTACAAAGCTTTTTTATTTTTTGTATTTAGTGTTTAAAGGTTGCTGGAGTGGCAGAGACCATACAGCAGTGAGCGAATTGTTGAAAGATAGTGCTTCAGGTATGCACACCATCAGCATATTATTATTTTCTTTTTTTTTTTCAGGTATCCAAAGCCATATTTTTTACTTTCTAATAAGTAGTTCAGTTCAGTGTGTACTTATACATTCCAAACAGCTGATGGAAAGTTTCTGTTTAAGTTGGATTTAATATGTGGTTGTTCATATTGGTGTAGTCATTTGTGTTTTTAAATATTGATGACAGCAAGTTGAATTTTCCATTAAGGAATATAGCAGGTTCAAGTTAAGCTCTATGGACAGCATTTGTGACATGCTGCTGATTGCCACAGAAAATACTTTCGACTTTTCAGTTCATAAAGCGGTCAAAAACAACATTTTTATGTTGTGTACTTAAAATGAAATTCGGACTTTTAAATGCATCTCCGAGGGACAAGTTGAAACAATTTTGTGTTAATCGACAACATGTCACAGATGTTGATTTACTTTGATTTACTTTTGAGTGGATTAAGCCTTTTTATGTAAATGCAATTAAGTTCTTACAACTTATGTTCTGTGTTATATTTTTGTATCAATCAAATGCTTACCTTTTGTACTTTTTTACTGGGAAATTTAAGTATTTTAAACAATAAAGTTGTTTCCATAAAGGGGAATTCACATGTAAATTTATTTTTGATCATAACATTTTTTTGTTACATTTAATGTCCTGGAAAACTGTTAACCTGAAGGAATATTAAATGTTATAATTAGATCAAATATTTAATTCAAAAGTAAGAAAACCAGGTGTGTTTCCATCTACTAGAAGGTAGATGGTTTGCTAGATAAAGCAAAACACTAGTCCTGTTGATGCATGTAGTGTCCTGGTTAATCTGGTAATACCTGTCTCCATTAATACCTCACCTGTTCTACAGACTTGGGAGGTGCATTTTAGAACTGTTTTGCTGAGGGCTCTTATAGTTACACCTTGTAACACAAAACGAAATGTTGGAGATTTGAGATGGCTGGACTTATGCAGACAGATTGCACAACAGAAATAATGATCTTAAAAGAATAAGTTATATTGTTCAGTCATGTTGTTCGTCTGTTTATTAAAGCTATTACAATGTAAACCTGGTTCAAGTTTTTCCTCATACTATGGCAAGCTGTTTTAACATTTATTCCTTAAAACAGTAGAATCTATAGGGCCTTTCGCACCGCGGGAACCTTTTCATAGTACCAGAACTAATTGTGGAACTACCCACTTTTTGGCATTTTTGCACCACCGGAACTGGGTGCGGTTTTAGTACCGGACTGCCTTTTTCGAGAACCAAATTAGCTCCTACTCCGGAGCAGGGTCTAACCAGCACAACTGGTACTAATCGTGACGTAAGTAGACATTGATTGGCCAAACGCGTACGAAAACGCCCTCACCCGCCATGATTTAAAACGCCGTGTAAACATACTGTAAACATTAGGCTTGTTTGAGATGTGCCTCACCTCGCCTGAAATGTAGGCGAGAGTAGGCGGCTACAGTGAGGGGAGGAGTGAAATAAGCGCATTCAAGATGGACAGTTTTGACCTTTCGAAGTGGAACAGATACCAAAGAGATCAAAGGCAGATATCGCGTTATTCACACTAATGTGCTGTGTTGCTAATAAACGTGATATAATTTCAGTTCTGTTGCTTTTATGAAAATAAATATGATGAACAAGACACTCAAAGTGCTTGCTATTTAATTCCATACGAAAGGCGTATTTATCATCCATTTTTACTTTAATACAAACATGTATTTTAGATTTTTATAGAAATATGACAACAATCACATATCTCACACAGAGATCGCACTGTCATCGTGTTTGGGAATATTCATGCATAATTTAAATACATAATCACATGAAATCAGATAAAAAAAAATAAAACGTTTTAGACGAGAGCGCAGCATCACGGTTGTCTGAACCAATGAGCATTAAGCTGCTGTTAAGCTGTTAAGCTTTGATCAGCGCAGTCGGTGGAGAGCAACTGCGCTCGACTGCACAATCCGACACAGCCGCCTCGCCATCGCGAGAGTTTTTTGGCACACGTCAGCATGACATCAGAGCAAGTCGGACGTAACTCAGACACTTTTCTAACCGGCATGCATCTCGCGGTGATCACCGGTGATCGGTTCTGCGCAGATTTTGCTCATCTCAAACAAGCCTATTGTGTCAACTTGTTTAGTACTGTACATTTAGTTCTGGAACTAAAGCGGTGCGAAAGGCCTTTATTTTCATGCTATTGGTACTTATTTTTAGCTACTATCTTTTACATTAAGTACTGGTACGTATTCATTTGCTACTGGTTCTTATTCTTTAGGTACTTACTTTTTAAAAGATACTAGTACTTATTATTTATATACTAATTATTATTAGATACTGGTACTTATTCATTAGCTACTAGTACCTATTAAACAGATATTAGTACTTATTTCAATTCTGTTGTAACTAGTAACACATTTCAAATTCTTACCATTGACTTCTGTGGGGATCTGTCATTCAGGTATCAACTATTCAGTTCTGACTGGTATTTATTCTAATCATGACTAGTACATTAAAAAAAGTAGTTATTCATTAGGTACAAGTACATTTTTTTAGATACCAGTACTTGATTAGATACTAGTACTTATTCATTAAATACTCATTCCTATTTTAAAGATACTAATAGTTATTCATTAAACACTAATACTTATTGATTATCTACTAGTACTTATTCAATAGATACTACACATTTATTAGATACTGTTAAGTATTCCAAATGTTACTAGTAAGATTTTTTTAACTAGTAAGATTTTTTAATTGAACTCTACAGTGAACATTCTGACCAGTCATAACATAAGACAAGTAAAAAATGAGTTGTGACTTTTAAGATAAGAATTGTTACTAGTAACAATTACAAAAGATACTAGTGTCTAACAACAAAGTACTAGATGAAAGTAATCTAATTAATAACTAGTATTAAATAGGTACTAGTTGTCACCCTTTTAGTTGTTATGGATACCTTTGTTTCTGTGTTTTCCTGTGTTCTGTTTTGTTTTGTTTTAGTTCCTGTGTGCCCTTATTTGGTTATCTTCCTGGTCTCGTTTAGCCTGATTAGTTTACCTCCATCACCTGTGTTTACTTTATGATCTTCATCTGTCTTTGTATTTAAGTTGTTCCCTTTCTGTTCGGTCACCGTTATACTAAGTTGTGTTTTCCCTTGTTTATCTGCCTGAGTTTAATTAAACAGAGTTTTGGACTTTACCTGCTGTCTCCTTTGCCTTGCTTCGCAACACAACCTGTGACAGATGACCGAACCACGCAAAATGAACTGGGCTGAGGACAAGCTATTTAATGTCCAGCAGGATGGACAGCCTTTGGAGTGATATGTGGAGGAGTTCCTGAGTGTTTACCATCTGGTGAGCTGGAGCGATCATACGGTTAACGCTTGCTTCCGGATGGGACTTGACGATGATCATTTGTTTCGATTCCTTTCTCCTGACGATTGTTATAGACCCGTAGCAGACATTATTAATTACGTCCTCGATTTAAATGATTCGGATTTCTTTGTAGATGTAGCTAAATGAAGATTGACGTTCGATTCCTATCTGGAAGCATGTGAGCGCTCCGGCTCACCACAAACCAACACCCTCCACATACCAGTCCAATGGATCCATCCACTCCTACCCACCCGTGTTTCCCCGATCCAGAAAGGAGGTTTCGAACAGCGCTGACCTGGGAGCTGAAGTGGTGGAGTCCGCTCCAGAATGCTTTCCAGAGTCCGCTCCAGAATGCTCTCCAGAGCTCAACCGGGATCCCACTCACGCCACAGAGCTCAACTGTGAGCCCAGCTCTCCTAAGTCTCCTGAATCTCAGCTGGTTCCGTCCAGCTCTCCTGGGTCTCCCAAGTCTCCGCTGGTCCCAGCCAGCTCGCCGGCATATCCAGAGTCCCGGAAAGGTCTATCCAAACCTTCGTCAGCCAGAAACCATCTGAGCCTGAAGGCGCCTAGTTTCCCCCAAGGAAATTTTTTTTTGGGGGGTGCATATGCCTGTGGCCATAGTGGCCAAGTCGGGGAACCTGGACAAGACCAAGAAGGCCCATCCTCCATGGCCTCCGGAATGGGCGGCACCTCCATGGCCTCCTGAAAGGCTGGCACCACCATGGCCCCCTGAACTGCCGGCACCGCCCTGGAGGCTGCCCATCCTGTGTAGCTGCGTCTAACCAGCCTCCACCCTCCCTCCCCTCTGGATGGTGCTTAGCGCGAGGGCGCGCTTTCCGGGAGGAGGGGGTTATGTCATCCTTTTAGTTGTTATGGACACCTTTGTTTCTGTGTTTTCCTGTGTTCTGTTTTGTTTTAGTTCCTGTGTGCCCTTATTTGGTTATCTTCCTAGTCTCATTTAGCCTGATTAGTTTACCTCCATCACCTGTGTTTAGTTTATGATCCTCATCTGTCTTTGTATTTAAGTTGCTCCCTTTCTGTCACTTGTTGTTCGGCCACCGTTATACTAAGTTGTGTTTTCCCTTGTTTATCTGCCTGGACACGCGCGCTCTGGGAAGAAGGAATCTTATGAGAAAGGATATTTGTCAATGAGCTCAGGATCTGTTGAGCAGCAAATCCTCCAGTATGATCTTGTCAGTCATCTCTCCTCTCAACCTGTCTGAACCCCCCCACTGTCCTCTTTTTGGAAAACTAAAATATGGTCACCCTAATAAAATAACATTAGACACTAGTATGTTTTAAAGGGGGGGTACAATGCTGTTTCATGCATTCAGAGTTAACCTTAAACCGCATAAACACATTTCATTACACCAAATACACAAAATAATGTTCTTTTTAGCAGCATCATATGACCCCTTTAAAGAGTTGGATTCTCATGCTAAACATGGCCAAAGTTTCAAAAAACGATTTGGACGTATAACAGAGTATTTCTGTGCCAAATACACACTTCCAGGTTTCTTAAAAGTTTGGGAAAGTTTTTTTTCGATCATGGGTCTTCATGACATAATGAAGGGTTGAACTCCTTATATGGGCATTTCTCCCGGAAGAGCACACCCACGCACACATCGACCAGAGCGAGAGCAAGAGCGCGCCCATCAACACGCTTCATTCAGCAGCGCTGCATGGGACTCGCTCGGGAATAATGTCTCTAAAAAAGTCTGTTTTTGGTTGTAAGGGAAAGATAACCTTGTTCAGCTTCCCGAAGAATTACGTTACGTAAACAGCGGATGCACTTTGTTTTCCGGGGCAGCAACGGAGTTTCGCAAGTGTGTTTGTTGACGAACGTTTTATAAACAAGGCCCAGTTCAACGCTGGATTTGCACATCGTTTGATACTGAAAGATGGAGCGGTCCCAGCTATAAAAGATCCTGGTCATGATTCAGAACTGCAGATGGTAAGTGAAACTGCCTCAAATGTCTGTTTTGTTGGCAATCAGCGCTCAAGTGCTAGTCACTCTTTAGCTCCGCCCATGGCGCTCCTCCAGGAGCTCGGCTGTTTTCAGAGAGAATCATAAAGCTGTATCTTTCTTTTATAAATATGATAAAACTAAAGACTTTTTGGAGATATGAAGGATGCTGTACTACTCTATAGGTACTCAAGATTAATATGAGTTTGGGTGAAATTGTGTGTGTTAGGTCCCCTTTAAGGATGAAATGTTAAAACGGCTTGCCATACTCTGAGGCCCTGTCCACACCAACGCGGTTATTTTTAAACTTCTGATTGGCCAACATGGCTTTACGGTTGAGATTATATCGCCAGCTGTTGGTTAGGCATGCTCTTGACAGTGCTTCATAGCTTGCGTTTTCATGTGGACGGAGATTTTTTTTTTTAAAAGAAGGAAGAAGGAAAAACTCAGTTTATAAAAATACCCGTGTACATGAGGACATGGCCTGACTGTACACATACCCTTACCGATTCCGCATTATTCGCGGTTAAAGGGATAGTTCACCCAAAAATGAAAACATGATGTTTATCTGCTTACCCCCAGGGCATCCAAGATGTAGGTGACTTTGTTTCTTCAGTAGAACACAT